AGAGAGACAGTGAAGGTCAAAGAGTGACCGTCCACACAGTGGTTCCACAATCGTTTTCCAACCAGACTCCTCTTCGATACAAGCACAAGTCCAGTTTGAAGAGTGCTTCAGAGCCACCTGGAGGGCTTGTTAGAGCATCCATTGTTGAGCCCCCTACACAGAGTGTGGGATTGTGGCCAGAAATTTGTGTTTCAAACACATGCCAGGTATTGTTGATACCGCTGACTGGAAGACCACATTTTGACAACTGCTCGTCCATTCTACTTTTGAGTTTAATTATACTATAATTTTTACTATCATGAAAAACACAATCAAGATTAATTGAATGTTTCAGGCAACAAGCATGGTCTGCAAGATGACTTAAGGTGGTCTTTCTCACCTTTGGACTACAGAGTAGAAATGATTGAAGATGATTGAGCTAAGTAAAGATAAGTATTATATATATTTATATATCCAAACAAACTTCCCAACGCACTGCCACTGTTCTGATGCCACCTTGCAGAGACTCCACAGGACAGGGTAAAACTTCCCTGTGAGTTTCCATGGCTGCAACTGTTTACTGAAGTAGAAAGTCCTGTCCTTTTCCTGCTGAGCAGCTGGTGGTTTCGAGCTGCTAACCTTTCAGTTCATAGCCCAATGTGTAACCACTGTGCTGGCAGGTTCCTAAGAATCAATACAGCAAGACCTGAATCTTAGGGGTGGGGCCAGCGATTGGGTCATTTATGAAAGTACCCGCATGAAATTCTAGCACGTAGTCCAACCAGAGAATGCCTAAGGAGTTCTCTTTCACTTCACTAGAGAAAAGGGACGAAATGTAAGTGCTCTTTTCTAGGTACTGACTTATGAACAAAGGTTTTTACAAGGAAATCGAAATCCCTGGGAGGCACTCGGATGCTCAACTAGGAAACAATATCAGGGTAATTTAGAAAGTGTTTGTGACTGTTGATTGACAATGCACTGCAGGGTTAGTTCACAGGTTTGAAATAACAGAACTCTGAAAGGTGAGAAGCACATTAATTTAATCCATGGTTCCTTTCCTTTCCTTTGAATGAAATCAACCAGAGTCTAGAATCTAGGATGTTGACATATATAAGCCTATATGCTGATGTCCTGAATTTTCCTGCTGTGATTATGATATTTATCCTCACTTAGATAAATTATTTACCACTGCAATTTAAATTTGAGTGTCCCTCTGGTACAGATAGGAACTGAAAATACAGGGAATCCAGGACGGATGAGCCCTATAGGACCAGTGGTGTGAGTGGCAAAACAGGGAGGGTAAAGGGAGAATGGGTAGGAAAGAGGGAACCGATTACATGGAACTGTGTGTGACCTCCTCCCTGGGGGACAGACAACCTAAAAGTGGATGAAGGGAGACGTCGGACAGGGCAAGATATGACAAAATACCCATTTATAAACTATCAAGGGCTCATGCGGGAGGGGGGAGCGGGGAGGGAGGGGAAAAATGAGGACCTAAGGTCGGGGATTTAAATGGAGAGAAAATGTTTTGAGAAACGATGTACAAATGCGTTTTACACAATTGATGTGTGTATGGATTGGGATAACAGTTGTATGAGCCCCTAATAAAACGATTAAAAATAAATAAACAAATAAATTTGAGTGTCCCTATACATCAGACCTTACAGGAATGAAGTTCTGCACATTACCCATTTCAGAGTCTTTTAGGGCAAGTGGATTTAGAAACACACACATAACAAAGGGCTTACTCAAATAATGTTTCCACCTTAAATTACTTTTCTTGAAAAAATAATTGCATGACTGTTTATAAGTGTAAGGGAAGGTACATGCAATGGAAGTCTTTCTGGGAGCACTGTGGTGGGAACAACTCTTAGTATTGGTTTTACAAGGACTCCACTGAGAGCTCAATTTCATAGTCATTAAAACCCAAAGCCACACATTGTAAACAAAACTTCTAGGTAAGAAATTAGGACTAATATTGGATTGCAAAATTTACAAAAAGAATTTAAACAAATCTCAGGTGTCAGGACTGGGCCTGGAAGATAGATCTTTGCTAAAGTCAAACATTTGGAAATCACCATTGTGGTTTGGATCCAGGCACATTCACTGTGTACAATTCATAAGGGTCTCAGCGTTCTCGGCCAGGGACCACCGTTCCCTGGTGTCTTGCAGGGCTACTTCAGGGACTTCTCAAGCTGCTTCCTGTGCTACTGGTCTCCACAAGAAGATTGGAAACACAAATATAATGATTTAAAAGAAAGTTAAAATCTCAAGTCCTGGAAAGATGCTTGGGTGAATCTTTATCCACTCTCCATGTCTTCCAGAATACATCGTTTAAATATCCTGAATAATGATAAGAATAGAAGCATGACTATAGTAACCTAGACTAGCAGACACCAGTCACTACAAGTATGAGGGCATCAAAGAAAGATCCGAAAATGCAAAAAATGATTTTGGTCTTCAATTCTACTTTTTAATACCACACACACACACACACACACACACACACACACACACACACACACACACGTGTGCGTGTAAAAATCAAAGCATGGAGCCTATGTGGAGCCAAATAAGCATAGCCAACCCTCATTTCATTATGTTACATGCTAAATGGGAAATAAATTCTGGTACAGGATTTGATTCCCTCCACCCCCAGGCCCCGCCCCCTGTGGATGTAGAGGGGAGAAGCTGCCTCTTCTCCTAGATGCGTCCACTCTGTCCTGTTTTTCATCTTTGGGGCCTGACCCTGCAAGGGAGCTACATAGAAGCCCTGGATGGTGCAAACGAAGATGTACTACTGACAGAAAGATGCATTACTAGCAGAAAGAAGGGCCGTTGGAATCCCCCCATAGGCCTCTGGGAGCAAGGGCTGGCACTCTACTTCCAAAAAGCCACAGCCTTAAAAACCCAGTGGAGCACCCAGTTCTACACTGACATGCACTGGGCTGTCGAACGTCGGGACAGATTCGCCCCAACTGTTCTGGTTCTGCTTTAAGAGAGAGACACGAGGATCTATCTCACGCCTTCAGATGGTTGTGCTCACAACGACCCAGACTGCGATTATAAGGGAAATAGAATGGAGTCTTGGCATGTGACTTGGCCAGACCGTCATTTTCCTGGCCCTCACCAGCCCCAGGCCAAACGTCCGAGTGTGTATGTCTGTGACGTTGTCTGCACGCAGTGATCTATACATGGGTAGTCAGTGTGTAGGTGATGCCAACAGATCAGACTTCCAACTCACCGTCTGCCCTGCAGTATCTTGAGTCTCCACGTGACGCTGGACAGCGCCTGCAGCCTCATTTTCTCTTTGCACCATCAGCTCTGGTGTCTCGTGGGTGTCAGGGAAATCAGGGGTCTCAAGAAGTGTTTCCGCAGCCTGCGTGCCCTCCCTAGTCGGCTCTGACTCGCCTTGCTGTGGCCATCCTGGTCCGGAGGCTTCGGTAGCTCCTGACTGCTCCCCACCATGACTGTGCTCTGCCCCCTCCTCCCCTGGCAAGGAGCCTGCTCCCCTCGGAGTGCTGTCCACCTTCCCTCCCTCTGGACCCCTTCCTTGTCTCTGGGGCGGCTCCTTCTCCAGACTGGAAGCCTCTCCCAGAGTGTGCAGCCCCAGCCCGGGTGCTGATGGCACTGTCGCCTCCTGCACCGTTGACCCCTCTTCTCTGCTCAGTGCTATTTCCGCTACCACCATCCCCACGGCAGATGTTTGTCCAGCTCCTCCTCCCATCTCTTGCCAAGTCTCCTCCCCTGCAACATCTGCCGAGGAGGCGGCTGTGTTTGTGGCTGGCCCCTCCACTCTCTTACTGTCTGCTAAGCCCTCCCTCTCCTCGGTGGCCATTTCTGCCCTGTCTCTTTGACTGGAATCTGCTTGAGCACCTGCTGTCCCCTGGCCCAAGTTCCCAGCCGGCGCTGTGCTCCTGCTGCTCTGCACGGCTTGGCCCACAGGGTGTCCTCTCTCCGCCTCATCCAGGGCCTCGCCCGGTGCTCCTCCAAGCGACTTTTCTGCCACCACGGTGTCTCCTGCAGGACCATCGCCTCTGACCACTGTCACGTCCTTCACGCCTTCTTGCCCCGGTAGAGATTCCTCTTTATCCCTCCCCTCCAGGTCTGCAAGGCCATCTTGACCTTTGACTTCACCCTCCTCAGTCTCACCGGAGGTGACAATTGTCACCCGTGCTTCTGCTGACCATTGGCTCTCAGGGACGCCCAACCCACCCTGTCTGTCCCCTTGTGGGCCTGCAGCCTCCTGCTGGGACATCTCTGCCCTGCTGCCAGCCTCGGCCTCTCTGCCCTCCTGCCCCTGGTCCCCTTCCTGGTCCCCTTCTGTCCCTGGAGCCCAAGTGTTTCCCAGGGACTTTTCCAATCCCTCCTCCGCTTCCAGCAAGGCTATTCCTCCAGCGGGGAGCGACTCCTCTGGGCGCGCTCGGGCCAAGGTCACTGCCCTGGAGTCTGCCTGATCAGAGCCCGGGCTCAGCCCCTGGACAGCAGGCTGGGCATCGCCCGCAGAGGGGGGTTCGTTCCTTTGCGCCCCCTCTTCCTCCTGCAGCGCGGGTCCCTCTTTCGAAGCACTGACCCTTTCCCCCTCTTTGCCCTCCGATGCCCCTTCTCTCAGAGGGGTTCTGGGCCTCACGTCTCTGCTGCCATCTTGCTTGTGATCTGCTGTCTCCGTCTCAATCGTCTCCAAGTCCACGCCGTTCTTAAGTCCGCTCCTTCCTTCTTCAGGGCTATCCTGCCCACTCATCTGATGTAGCTCATCTGTCTTCTCGGAGCTGGAGGAGCTCAGAGATACTTCTATTCCTATGGCCTCCTTTGACCCTTTGATGGGTTCCTCTCCCTCTGCGGAGCCATCTTCTCTCTTGGGTGTTGCTGGTTCCCCTGGGGCTGTCTTCGCGAAGTGGGTGCCTCCTTCCTCTTCACACTCTGTATCCCCTGGCTTCCCAGGCCTTGCTTCTCTAGTCCCAGCCCCTCTTGGGCCTGCTCCCTTCTCCAGTGGCATCTCTAATAACACCGCGACCGCCCCAGCCAGCTCTGAATGCTGAGCTACTGCCCTGCTTCCCAGCCCTGGCTTCCCCGAATCCTCATCCCCTTCTGACATGGCCTTGCCAGTCTCAAGCTTGCTCCGTTTGGAGCCCTGCTCCACGGGAGCCCGGTCTTCATTCAGACAAGCAAAGGCTCTGGCTCCTTCTGCCTCTACTGGTTTTAACCCTTCTTCACCCAGATTTCCATCCCTGTCAGCTGCTGCCCTTGCCAGATCCACCAACTCCTGAGGGGCCTCGCTCTCCACAGTCAAGGGTTCTTCTGTTAACACTGGCTGCACTGTGGCTGCCTTCCACTGCCCATTAAGCTCTATGTCCCCTGCCAAGGTCATCTCCCCTTTTCCCTCTATTGTGTCGGCATCCTTGGGTTGGGGAACAGGTTCTATGGTTGCCTTTGTCTCCAGCGTATGCATGTGTGGTGCAACCTGCTTGGATTCCGTGTCTGAGTCGAGCCTTCCTTCCACCACTGAGGTCCCATTTGGTGCTATAAATACAAGGTTAGAGAACCAACGTTACTTTCACCAGTGGCTGAGGAGGAAATGTACATATAATAGTAGATAACACTTAAGTGTAAGACATATTTTTATACATAATATCAAGGGGTAACTGATATTATACACAAAACACTTCCTTCATTTTCTGGTATAACTATCCTCTATAGTGCTGAGGTAGTTTATTGTGCCAAACTGGCCAATAAACACATGTGGGGCTAATTGAAGGGTGGAGGAATAAAGGGCTCCGTGAGTTTCGCCTTTCTAGTTCTTGGGTCTCTTGCTTTCTGATGGTCGGACCAGGGTACAGCTGCCTTACCCAGTTCCCTGCTTCAGCTTGCAAGGCTCACTTCCTGCAAGACATCCCTGAGGAGAAGTCACATGGATCAACCCCGATGCAGCCCTGGAGAACTGGAGAACCCGTGTGGAGACCCTTGCCAGCGCTGAGATGCTTACACATTCACTGACTCGGCTTTTCTCCTGCAGTTGGCATCATTGTGTCTGTTTTGTGAGATGGAGGAGGACTTTGTGGATTGGTGTTGGACATATGGGTTAATGTCGGACTTGTGGGCTTGGGCAGCACTGGGTTGGGATGTTTTCTTGATGTGCACTTAACTTTTATATAAAACTCTCTCTGATACATGAGTTTCTGTGGATTTGTTTCTCTAAAGTACCCAGACTAACACAAATGTGCACTATTATTTAGTGGTGTCCCGTTATGATGAAGAGTGCTGTCAAATTTAATGGATATTTGGGGAGGAAACAACAAGAGTTAAACATTACAAATGTTGAAAAGCAAAGAAACTCTTTGAAGCACTAAAATGTTAAGCATTCACACATGAACACATAAACAAATAGGTGTACAGACAATCCTTCTGGTTTCCCTTCAAATAATAAGATTAGCAGAATAGTTGTACAAGATGAACAGTGACAATTTTACCTTCTTAAAAATAATGATTCCTTATAAAACTGCCCTTTTCCCACATTTCTGGTCCATGTGACCATTTAACAGGATCATCATAAACAGTGTGAACTGAGCAGTGTGCTAGATATTATTAAGCTACTGGACTACTAACCACAAAGTCAGAAAGTTGTTTCAGAACTCCACAGGTGGGCGTGCTACCCTGTCTTTTAGAATCACAATAAATCAAAGTTGGCTGATGCATGTGTGTTGTTGTTGTTGTTTTAATAAGAAGCCCCGGTGGTGTAATAGTTATACATTATGACTGAGTTTCCTACTCCCATAACAGTTACAGTCTTAGAAACCCATAGAGGTTAGCTCTGAGTCTGCACTGAATGGATGGCAATGAGTTTTGGGGGCTGGGGGCGGGGGGTTCTTGTTTGTTTTTTTTTGTTGTTTTGTTTTGTGTGTGATGCAATAAGCATCCTGTTGGCTTTGTGGTTCAGAACCACCAGCTGCTCTGTGAGTGAATGATGAGGTTTTCAACTCCTTTAAAGAGTTTAAATCTCAGAAATCACTGTGAGTTGGAATTGACTTGATGGGTGTAAATTAGGTTTGTATAATATCTTGATTTAAGGAGACCTGATGATATAGGACGAGTCCTGGTGGGGAGCGGTTCGAAAGCACGGACACTCTGAGGGAGAAAGATGGCACTTTATACTCCCATAAAGAGTTAGCAGTGTAAGAAACTCACAGGGTTGCTATGAGTTGGCAACAGCTCAATGGCAGTAGGAAAAAAAGAAAAGGTGATGCAGTGATTCAGAGTTGTAGTGCTCATCAAAACATGAGTGGTCCAAGACCAGCAGTAGCTCCGTGGGCGAATGAAGTGACAGTCTACTGAGGCTGACTAAGGTACTGACTTGGGAACCGTATGGGGCGGTTCTACTTTGTCCTATAAGTGTGCTATCACTTGGAATCTATATAACTGGTCTCTCTCTCTGTCATCTAGACGTAGTCATCAAATAATTTTGTGGCTCAAGGTAAGAATTTTTTCTAAAGACACCAATTTGTAGCACAGGTCAGGATACCTCCCATCTTTGTTCAAAAACGGATTTGCCTTTGGCAAAACAAGATCACAGGGCAAGGCAAGACTTTGTAGTCTGTGATAATTTTCAACATAGATAATCTTCTTGATGTATTTCATAAATTCTTATCCATAATTCCCTGGCAAATACAATGTACAAGCTATAACACTTCAATAACTATAAATTCAGTATGTTTTTTAAAAGGCTTCAAATGCATTTATTACTTAACAAAGACATACATTTGTTGCATCAAATAAGAAAATTCATGTCATGTTAAGGCATTTTAATTTTCCAACTGCAGAATAACACTGGAAATAGAATCTTCTAAAATGATCGTCTTAATATTTATTAATTGGATTTTCTCTTTTATTCATCAAACACTGTTTTAGATGCTGTAAAATAAGTTATCATAGCAGGGTGACAACATCTAGATAATGTAAGTTTATGATACAGGCAATGTGTCTTCCTTATTTTCTTTTTTCAAAAAACATGCTTATACTCTCTTATATCTCCTTCTTTCTCCCTCCAAATACTACGATAAATCATTTTTAGGTAAGTCGGTAGTAGCTGATATTGTAAGGTGACGTAAAGTCAATTCCACGTCATCGTGACCCTGTGTGCAACAAAAGGAAACACTGCCGCATCCGGCACCATCCTCACAATTGTTTTTATGCTTGAGCCCGTTCTTGAAACCGCTGTATCACTCAATCTTGTTGAGGACCTTCCTCTTTTTCACTACCCCTTCTCTTTACCAAGCATGATGTCTTCTTCAGGGACAAGTCTCTCATGGCAATCTGTCCAAGGTACATAAAATGAAGTCTCGCCATCCTTGCCACTAAGGAGCCCTGTGGCAGTACTTTTTCAAAGTCAGATAGGTTTGTCATTTTAGCAGGCCATGGTACTTTCCATTTCCCTCTCCAGCACAACTCAAATTCATCCATTCTTCTTCGGTCTCCCTTATGCAATGTCCTACTTTCACATGCATATGAAGCAATTGAAAATATCATGACTTGTGTCAATAGCACCTTAGTCCTCAAAGTGACATCCTTGCTTTTCAATACTTTAAAGAGGTCTTGTGCAGCAGATTTACCCAATGCAATGTGGTGTTCAATCTCATCCGCTGCTCTGTGAACATTTATTGTGGAGCCAAGCAAAATGAAATCCTGGGTAACTTCAACTTTTTACCCATTTATCGTGATGTTACCTATTTGTCCAGTTGTGAGGATTTTTGTTTTCTTAACATTGAGTTGTAAACCACACTGAAGGCTGCAATCCTTGATCTTCATCTGCATGTGCTTCAGGTCCTCCCCACTTTCAACAAGCAAAGTTGTGTAACTCCATATCATAGTTTGTTCATAAGCTTTCCTTCCATTCTAGTGCCATATTCTTCTTCCTATAATCCACCTTCTCTTATTATTTGCTCAGCATTCATTTTGAATAAGTATGGTTAGTATAGAGAATGAGACCCTGATGCACACATTTCCTCATTTTATGGCATGCAATATCCCCTTGTTAAGTTTACACAACTGCCTCTTGATCCATTTTAAGTTTTCATGAGCATAATGAAGTTCTGGAATTCTCATCCATCTCAAGGTTATCCATAGTTGTGATCCACATGGTCATGTGCCTTTGGATAGTCAATGAAACACAAGTAAGCATCCTTCTGATAATAATTGCTTTCAACCCAGATCCAGCTGACATTAACAATGATACACTTTGTCTCATTTCCTTTCCTGAATCCCATCTGAACCTTTGGCATCTTCCTGTCAATGTGCTACTGTTTGTTGGATGATCTTCAGCAAAATTTTATGTGTACCTGATATTAATGATATTGCTCTATAATTTGCACATTCTATTGGGTCATCTTTCTTTGCAAATATATAGATGACATAGATGAGTGAATGCTTCCAGTGCTTCATCAGCTTATTGAAACATTTAACTGGCATTCCATCAATTCCTGAAATGTTTTTTTGGCTAATGCTTTCCGTGAAGTTCAAACTTCTTCCTTCAGTACCATTGGTTCTCGCTCATATGCTTCCTCTTGAAATGGTGGAACATTGAGTAGTTCATTTTGGTATGGTGACTCTGTGTATTCTTTCCTTCTTCTTTTAGTGTTTCCTGTAGCCTTCCATATTTTGCCTATAGAATCTTTCAATATTACAACTCAAGGCTTGAATTCTTTTCTTGAGTTCTTTCAGTTTCATATGTGCCAAGTATGTTATTAGTTTTGGTTTTCTAACTCTAGGTCTACATATTTCACTATAATATCTGTTGCCTTCTAAAGCTTCCCTTTGAAATTTTCTGTTCAGCTATAGCCCTGGCGGTGTAATGGCTACAAGTTGGGTGGCAATCCGAATGGTCAGAAGTTCGAAACTACCAGCAGCTCCACAGGAGAAAGACTATTCTAGTCCCATATGTAGTTGCGGTTTCAGTAACATACAGGGAGTTGCTATGAGTCAGTATTGGCTCAATGGCAGTGAGAGTTGGGTCTTGCACTTCATCATATTTTCCATTTGCATTGGCTCCTTTATGATTAAGAGTACGTTTCAGAGTTTCTTCTGACATCCATGCTGATCTTTTCCTTCTCTCTAGTTTTTCCAAAGGCCCCTTGCTTTCTTCATGTGTGATGCTCTTGATGTCCTCCCACAGCTCACCAGGGCTTCTGTCATCAGTGTTCAATGAATCATACATTGTTCGAAGAGCATACAAGTGTTCTTGAAATTCATGTGGATATACTCAAGGTCATATTTCAGCTCTAGTGGGCTTTAATTTTTTTTCTTCAGCTTCAATCTGTACTTGCATATGAGCAGTTGATGACCTTTTCCACAGATAGGGCTAGGCTTCATTTTATCTGCTGATACTGAGTTTCTACACTCTCTCTTCCTGCAGATTTAATCAGTTTGATTTCTGTCTTTCATCTGGAGAAGCCCACGTGTATAGTCACCCTTTGTGTTCTTGAAGAGAGGTGTCTATGATGAAGGTGTTAGATGTGCAAAATTCCATCATGTGACCTCAAGTTTTGTTTCTGTCACCAAGACCATAGTTTCCAAACACTATTCTCTCATCTTTGTTTCTAACAATTATCAATGGATCTTGATTGCCTCTTCAATCAATTTCAGTGACAATGTTGGTAGAATTCTTCAATTTCTGCCTCACTAGCTTTAGTGGTTTGTTCATAAATTTGAACAATTGTTGTATTGACTAGATTTCCATGTATACACGTAGACATTATCTTATCCCAGAAAGCTTTGTACTTCAAGACAGATCTCAAAATGTCCTTTCTGAAGATGAATGTGATACCTTTCCTTTGAATCTGTTATTCCTATCACGGTAAACTATATACATTTCTTATTTTAAAAATGGCCAACACCAGTCCATTTCCACTCACTGACACCTATAATATCATTCTTGATGGGTTCCATTTCATTTTTGACAATTCCCAATTTTCCTAGATTCATACCTCATACATTCCACACTCCAATGGTAAATTGATGATTGCAATGGTTTCTTCTCATTTAGAGGGGTATTCTATCAGCAAATGAAAGTCCCGAAGGCTTTACTCCATCCACATCATTATGGCAGCTCTACTCTAAGAAAGCAGATCTTTCTGTGCCTTCTGACCTGAGTGGCACATCTTCTGGCCTGTCTCTGACAGCGTTCTGCTTCTAGTCAGGAGGTGTTCAGTAAGTGACAATGTTTCCATACTATCCATAAAGCTTTCTGTGGCAAAGGCCTTAGAAGTGAACCATCTACTCCTTCTTTGTAGTCTCTTCTTAGACTGGAACAACAGCTGAGACCTGTCCCTTTGGGTGACCCTATGTTATTTAAAATACCAATGACCTAACTTCCAGAATCACAGCAGCACACAAGCCACCACAGAATAACAAACTTGTTGACAAGGGGTGTCTGAAACTACATCTCCCTAAAAACAATGCACCTATCATTATGGAAGACCTGATGTCTTGTTTGAAAGGAGCACAATGAAAATTTCAGTTTCATCAATGGGCTGACGGTTACTTTTATAGTAGTCCTCATCATGCCACATCCGCTATTACTGAAAGAGCACCTAAAAGCTTCCAAAGGGAAATGTAGAAACAGTGCTTATTCACAGAGCCTAGAGTCAATTCACCTGAGATAATGGAGCACATTGTATCTCATTAGAGATGATTACTGGATTTAAAACAAAATTAAACTAAAACATGAGGAAGCAACGTGTGTGTCAAGCTTCTTAATAGTATATCTGTTGTTATGCAAATTCCTTCATGAAAGTATATTAAGAAGTCAGCTATAAAAACATTTAAATGAAGTCCTTTGTTTTGTGAAGATGGCCTCTAAATTTATGAGTTAATTAAAGAACATTCAGGCAAACATGGAATGAAATTGCCTCAACAAGATGCAATAACACACTATGCTGAAATGCTCCGGTAGAAAGTACTAAAGGCATCCAGCCGAGCTGCTGTGTGAACATACTCCCTGCAGTGAGGTCAGACCTGACCTTCCAACAGCAAACGAGGAGAACAGGAGGCCTTCGTAAGAAAGATGATTATAGAAACATGATATTTAAAAAAATGTAGCTTCATAATTTTCTTTGAAACATAATAATGAGAGTCAGCAACATTTCTAAATAGGGGCACGCCGATGGAATGACATGAATGTGGACTTGGGATCTGATAGGCCTGGGTGAGAATGCTAGTTCTGGGAACTTGGAAATAAAACGTGACGAAATTTTGGTTCCTCATTCACTTATAACAGAATGAAACACTGTTCCGTCCTGGGCCATCCTCACAATTGTTCTTCTAGTTGAGTCCATTGTTGCATCCACTGGTCAATCCATCTTGTCAAAGGTCTTTCCCTTTTGTCTTGCCCTCTATTTTACAAAGTCTGATGTCCTTCTCCAGGGGCTGGTCTCTTACGACAACTTGTCCACAGTACATGAGACGATGTCTCACCGTCCTTGCCTCTAAAGAGCATTCGGACTGTCCTGCTTCCAACACAGACCTGTCGGTTCTTTTGGAAGTTCGTGGTACTTCCAATAATCTTTGACAGCATTCAAATTAGTGTTCAAATTATGTTTACTTTATTTGGAGAATTGACACTTCTCTTTAAAATGCAATATGTTATTTTATTGTTACTCATTTAATAAATGAGATTATATTGGAACTCTTTGCTGATACTTTCTTCTGGAAAATGAGCATATTTTAAGCTTGTCCTATCTCTGAAATGCATTTGAGTAATCTTCCATGTAGTGCGCAGATGTTAAATTGCCATAACTCTGCTGGATGCTTCACACACATGATTGATGATCTTCACAAAGCCTAACAGAGTAGATAAGGTCAACAAAATTCAAAGGTATCAGAAACCTAGGTTATATAGGAACTCATACGTTATTGAGTTAACATGGACACCCCCCCTGATGAATGGTAGTAGACAGTAACATCATTAAACCAGGTGCAGAGATGGAAAGTACTAAGAGTTGGTTTTGCAGCAGAACTTGTCCTATTCTTATGACCAGAAACTAAGGATATATATATATATATTCTCCCTCGAAAATAAAATGTCTACCTCTAAAGCAGCACAGGACAATTTATTATCTAATGTAATAATGTCAGCTCACCCTCCTGAGCAGAAGGCAGACAGGCTTACTGACTGCCTCCTGAAGCCCAGGTGCCTTCCCATTTTGACTCCGCCCATGATATACACATGTCATCTGGCTCTCTCCATATGGTTTGGTGGTGGTGATGGTGGGGTCGGACTCAGAAACCAGCACAAATGGAGATCTACTGGCTACTGCTATTTGCCATGAGTAATAATTTCCTTTTTATTTGGACTCAGGAGTCTTGTGTCTTCTGGCAGCCTTCATGAGCCTGCAGCAGATTAATTTCTGTGTTTTGGAAGTAAACTAAAATCTCAGATGCCTCACAATTCTCGATGACTCTCATTAATTGACGTGAAGGCACATAACAACACCATTAAAGAGTAGAGGTGAAGGTCCTTGATGACTACGTAGCACATTCAATTCAGGATTTTTAAAACGTTGTTCACTAAATATGAGAAAAACTGATTTGACCAACGATATGTGAGCATTTAGCCTGCCCTGTTATATCACTCTAATCAGCATCTCTTACGGCTGGAATACTTCTGTTTGAAAGTCAGATTGCATGTTCATAACAATTCTTTCCTACTTTCAGGAAATGAAGGGCACCACTGAATTCCTTGTGAGATGTGCCTGGGTGCGCAATGTCTCCAGTGGATCAGCTTAGGAAAAGGTGCCTACCTTTCAACTAACTGGGAGGCAAACAACAAAATAGGCCATTATTCTGATCTGAACATCTCTACCAGGATTTCACAATCTGAAGCCCTTCCTTTGTTTTGTTTTCTCTCTTTTTCTTTTGCAACAAAAGAGAGCAATAGTCATATCTAATGACAACTTTAGAGTTCCATATCAGGCCTCTCCAGCACCCCCTGCTCTCATGTTCATTAAGGGAAAGGAAATCAAAGATGTTATAGGGGAAACGCATGCAAAAATGCATGATAGAAATAGGGCTGCCTTTGGCCGAGGATTTCTGTGATTTCTTTCCCAGGTAACGACATGTCCTTACCAGAATGTATGTCCATCTCCAGCTTCCTCAAGTGCTTCTCTCGCTCCTCCTCAGTGCTGCCCGTCCACGGTTCAGCACCAGGGGGATTGTGTTGGCCAGGTTCCAAGGACTCCGCTGTTATCTGCCTATCTGGTTGGAGACCATGAAATATTACAAGGTATGAAAACAGGTCATGGAATCATTGGAAAGATGGGGTTAATTTTAAGGAGCATTAAAATATGGCCTTGTTTTTCAAATCTATTAGAATTCAACAACTCTCAAGCTATGATTTCAGAAAGAAAGCAGAATACACAGATGATTGCACAGCAAAAGAAATCCATGCAAAGAAATGGCTGCATTAAAATAACCACTCAAAGCACCAGTGGCAGATTTGCCAAATGCACATGCAGTGAAACAATTGGAAAAGCCGTTTAGTTTAGTTGCCTTTGTCTTTCTAGGTACATGTGTTATGCATTTTATGATGTCAGCCCTCCTGCCCTTTTCAATTGCTAAACCTACCCAAGCTGACTATACTGTGTGCATTTCATCCATTAGTAGGTTTTAGTGACCAGATCCTAGTACACACTCCCAATGTGGAAAAAAACAAAAAACGATTACAAAACACCTCTAAACATTACAGTAAAAGCTGTCATAGAATCTCCTGTAGTCTATAACTGAGTGATTACTAACTTAGAGTTGAAAATCAGAAGCTAGAACTTCAGTTAGATTCAAGTTCCATTCCTCTCCCTGGGCTACCTTGGGCAAATTTTTGACTTAAGCCTCAGTTTACTCATATGACAAAAATATAATAGCTACTCAGTGGTTATTAGGAGGATTAATTGAAGTAATATATGCAAAGTGTAATTATTAGCTAGTGTCTAAATTACTTATCTATCTACGATGATGATGGTGGTGGTGGTGATAAAGATAACAAGTTATTATTTTAAGGATCATCAGCCAATCTGCTATGATTCTAGGCAAAATGTTAAAGTCAATTAAGAGTTCCTTTAGTTACCGCACCTTCTGGACTATATTCCATATTCACGTGCTGATGACCTATCTTTCTAAATCCCCACATCTAACACCATACCTCCTTCTGACTAACAAAAGTTCTCACAAGCAACACCTCATTGACATCTGCCTTTCTTTCTTTCTTTCCTTGCCACACAGACACTTCATGCGAGAACTCTAATACAAGAAAACCCAATAATGAAAACAGCCTGGCTCTCTGACATGAGTAAGAGGCTGGCTGTGTTAATTGACCAACAGTTAGCTGTATTTGTTTAACCTTACTTCAAAAAATTAACTGATTAACCTAATCAGAACAAATTTTAGCATTTTAGTGGGGAAATGTTTTTGTAAGGAAACTCAGCCCTCAGAGTAGTAGGACAGTGATCAAGCTAAAGACGTGTGGCTTAGTGGTCTCGGATTTAGTCTTCAGCAGAAGCATGAGCAGAGACCTGCTCAGAAGGAGGCTTTCCAGACCATACCACCAGATAGGCTGAGTCCTCCGGCTTTCTGTAACTAACAGTTCACATGCTGGTCACTGAAAGGTTGGTGGTTTGAAGCTACCAGCTGGAGAAGTATGTGCCAGTCTACTCTGTAAAGATGACATCTTGGAAAACCTATTGGCATTCAATGCTCCTTAAACACATTTTTGATGATCAATTTCCCATAATTCATCCAATAGAACACATAGTTTTTACGTGAATACAATTTAAATGTGACATCAGCTCACAATTAGATGATAGCTGGGCTTGTTATCCGGTCAACTACATTGTTAACATAGTGCATATATGTTAAATACCATTCTACTCTTTTACAAAAGTGTTCACAGTGAGTTTAACTATGCACTGGAGGAGGGTTTTGTATATAAATCTTCTAGACTGACCGAACAATAGATATCCCTTCAGAGGGGTCAGGACGAAGTCTGATTTAGCAGCAAGTAGATGAAATGTTGTTTCATCAGTGCTTACAAGACATATGGATTTGTTTTCAAACAGCCCACAGCTACAAAATAATGTTTTACATAATGAGTCATAAACAATAATTCAAATAAAGATGTAGCAACTATGGAACCAAAAGATTATTCTAAGAAGCCAAACAGCACTAGTATAATCTGAAAATTACAACTCACTCAGAATTAACAGTGAAGATTGCAGTCTCTGTCTCAGAACTGTGATCACCACTTGCTCATAGCTGCTGGTTTGCCTGGAAGTGTAGACTTTGGAAGTGTATGAGAACTTGGATAAGTACGTGTTGCCTGTTCTGATTGAGGCAGAATGGGAAGCTGGTTTGAGCATCCGGGACTCAAGAGATGGAAAACCAAAGAGCTTCACAGGGTCATTTTTCCCCCACAGATGTTCTTCTAAAGCTTAAAAGCAAGAACTTGTCAGGTGTATAAGCTTGTTTTCCACCTTGGTAAAGAAGGACCGTGCACACAGAATCGTGCATGTCAGCGATATGACACATCACTTGGTTTTCTCTACCCATGTAACCTTTGTCCCTTAGGGCTTCTCTCCTTTACCATTCTAGACAGGTTGCCATTAAAGAAACAAAAACAAGTTTCATACAGAGAATTTCTTTAAAAAGTACCTTTCTGGTTATATGATTAAGATTACTATCGATATTTTTGAAATATAGAAATACTGTGGCATTAAAGAAGTTGTTCTTTAATTTGAAAAGAAAGTTTAAAGATACATTATATTGTATTTTCCTTTCATATGAAAACAAAAATTACTGTTTCATGACTAAAAACAACTGTTATCATGATGGTGAATTTCTACATACATTTTACTGTATTACTACTATCTATTTTCCAATCTCATGTTATTTATTTAGCTATACAATATTTCCCATGTAAATAAATTTTTAAAAACCAATTACTTTTATGTGCAATATCATATTATTAATATTTGGTTAGCCAAATGGATATTGTTGGATAAAGAATTGCTTCCATTCCTTTGTGATTGTAGAGCTATTTTTTATACCAGTTAATCATTTTTCTACATATTTCTGACTATTTCTTTAAGACAGAGTTTTAGAATTTCAATTTCTGGATCAAAAAGCATGAATTTTTAAGAAACTCTTGATACATGTTTATAAATGTTCTTCATAGAAAAAGGTATCAATGAACATTTTTTTTCTATAATGACGACTGGCCTTATGTCCCTGCAGTATGGTCCAAAATATCAATAAACCAAACCAGATATTGCTAAGTCGGGTCTGCATCATGGACACTGTAGGACTTACCAGGTAGAATTGTTCCAGGAGGTTTTCTTGACTGGGAGCTATACAGAAGTATATTACAAGAACTTTCTTCTAAGGTGCCTCTGGGTGAATATGAGCCTATTAATATGCTGAGAGATTAGCAGTTCAAACCCACCGGCCATTCTAAGGTTGTCTGCTTTCCTACCGATTTACAGGCTTGGACCCCTCTGCAGGGTTGTTATGAACTAGAATAAACTTGATGGCAGCAGGTAATGGGGTAATCATTACGTTAGTAGTCAAGTGAAAACTGTTTGTATTATCCAAGGGTCACCAAAATTTCCATCAACTCTTTGGCATTTGATAATTTTGTAATTGAAAATTGTTGGCAAAGATATAGTTTTAAATAACAGTAGTCAATGTTTCATTTTATGAAAGTCCTGCCACACACTATACCTCCTTCTCTTATGCTGTTTGTCTTTCTGCTGTGAAAGGATACTTCATGTGTTATCACTAACAATTCTTTATCACACACATATTGCAAATTTTTATTGATTTTAACTTTTCCTTTTAACTTTAGGTGTAACTTGGTTGCTATTGTAAAAACTTGATTTTTGGTTTTGCTTGTTTTACACTTTTGCAAGGTCTACTCCTTTCCCTTAAGACTTCAGGGTTTGATAACATGGTAAATGACTCCCCACCCCACCCCAGATCTTAAAAAATATTCAATTATATTTCAGAATTTCACATGGTTTCTTCTTATTTAAATTTTTCCAACGAAAAATATTATCTTTAACATTTAAAGATAATCTACATTGAAATCATCATTTAGTTTGGAAAAAAGCAACACATTTATATTTATTGTTCTGTTCAAATATTTAGAATGATTTCCCATTTGTCATATATTTTGTTATCATTTATGCATAATTATTCTAACTTCTTTTTGCTTGTTTATTGTTTATTATAATTTGACTCATACAAAGTCTATAGTACAGAGTAGAACTGACCCTATAGAGTTTGCAAATTGTAGATTTTCACCTCGGTAGAAAGCTTCATCTTTCTCGCACAGCGTCGCTGGTTTGAAACTGCCGGCCTTGCGGTGAGTGGCCCACCCCTGGCCCTCCCTAGGAGTTGACTGACTCGAGAGCTGTGAGTTATTTTCTGCATTTTTCCATTGTACTTTGAATCGCCTATTGACGTCTGACAGCTATTTGAGGCCATCAGTTGAAACTGGTCACCTCATTAAAAACATCTGTGGTTCTCAATAGTTTCACAATCAATTAATTATCTTAGAGGGTAATGTTTTTTCTTAGATCCAAGACGTATGTAAACTTTTAATTTTTTACCCTTTTTAAAGATGAGGATTCATTTTCTATACTGAATAATTTCCTGTTTAAGTGCAGTGTGATCTCAGAACATGGATTGACCAATTTCTGCTCGTGCTACCGGAAAGAAAGAAACAGAAAACAATGACGCCTTTGTAAACCAGTATTTAGATTACATTGACCTGTTTTTCTACTATCTTTTTTACTAACTTTCAAGGAAAAAAAAAAAAAAGATTTCTCCCTTGCATCATTTAACACTTTAGCCTTGAGTTCTAGATACTGGATCTTCACAGTGTAACTCCTACTTAGTTGTTCTTGCATTTATATAGTATGTGTTTAATCCATTCCCTTTCTCTGGTTAGGCATGACTTTTGGGCAACACATAACTGGATGTTTTTGTCTTTTCTTATATCCTGTTCCCCACCCCCACTTTGGATATTTGTAAGGCATGCATATT